TTTTAATTCAATTTTTTAAATGTTATTGTTAATTCTAATTGGGTTTGTTTGGGATATTCTATTTAATTTATTTTTAACTTTTGTATTATGTGTTTCTTTTAATGTTGTATGCTGCCCTGAGTCCTTGGGAGAAGGGCGGCATATAAATCTAATAAACCAAACCTAAACCAAACATTAAACAACAACATTTCAAAGGAATAAAATTCACAGGGAAAGAAGTAAACAACAACACCACACTGTTCTTCCTGGATATCCTCAACTACTCCATTAACCAAGTGTTTTACTACCGAAATAACATCCACAGGAGAAGCGGTATAAGAATATTAATCAGATGACTAAAAACATCTGATTAGCAGCAACCCAGAACACCAGAAAACAAAAATAAGCCACTTATACAACATATTCCAAAGAATGGATATCCACATAACTTTATCAAAAAGGGCCTGACCACACAACACTAAATCACAAACCATACATACATTAAAAAAAATCTCAAAAATAACCACAGACTACTACAACCACATGGCCAATTAAAGTCCTCAAAAATATCTTAAGTCAACCAAAAGACCCAATACGACAACAAGAAGGGAAAAAAAACAGCAGTAATCTAAAACTTCCAGTGTACGAACCTTTAACAGCACCATGTAGGACAAACAGGCAGAAGACTAGCAGAGCACATCCATGAAGACCCAACTAGCAGACAGAAGACATGAAACATCCTTACTTTCACAGCACATGGACCATCTTAACCAAAGTGTCATCTAGGAAACTATGAGCATCCTAAAGGTAAAGGTTTTCCCATATCCAGCTAAATCAGACTTTGAGTTACAGATGTCAAACTCATGGTGTCATGTTGCCGTATCGCAACGTTTTTCTTTTTCCCTTCACGGAGCTGGGGTGGATGTGGACTGTACATGATACAACTGGCCTGTGGGCTGCCAGTTTGGGTTCCACCACAAAACCGCGCTCAACTAAACTGCGTCCGACTAAACCGCGTCGCTGACATCATCAAAAGGGCAACAACAGCACGGAGACAGAAGCACGCTGTAAACCCTAAACCTAAAATTAACCCCTAAACCTAAACCTAACCC